TAGCGTTAAGGTTCTTTTCATTTGTTTATCTGTTTCTCTTATCCTTACTTGTGTTATCACTCTTCACTGCTTTATATATAAATAGCTTTGCTATGCTGGCAGGGTACATCTCTATCTATAGCTCTATCTCTGTCAATATCTTCTTTTCTGACATTTCAAAGCGATTCTTTCCCAATGCACCTATGTGCATCATTTCCATATCTTTTGTACTTTCTCTCATTCTCTCTCAGACAGTCTGTCTCCCTCTTTGGTTATCTTTTTCTCCCTATCTTCCCTTTCCCAATCTCTACATCCCCTAAGCCAACCCTTTAATATTATACTATCTCCTCCGTCTCTCCTGGCAGATTCCTGCAGGATTCAATCATGGCTGCACTAATGAGATTAGCATGGCTAATGCACATGGCTCTCCTTCCCTCTATGCCTTCCTCCCAACAGGCACACATGGTGTGAGGGTACCCAGGATGTGTGGGTCGGCTCCAGGGTGGCTGGGCTAGGAAAGCCCCATGGTTCCACCTGGGCCTCACCACAAGGGGCTGGAGGAAAAGGGACCATCGCAGGTGAAAGGGGCAACAAGAATGAGCCAGCCAAGAAAGTGGAGCTTGATGAAATCTAACTCCTGAGATTGTTTCTATGTGCGTCGGGGTAGGATGCATGGGGGGTGTTTGGCAGTCTTTCGCAGTGTCTCCCAGAGTTTGAAAGACCATGGTAGAAGTTGGTAGAAGCACTCCAGACAGAACTGAGATGAAGTGTGAGGAAAAATTTGGATGAACTGAGGGATAAAGAGGTGATGAAACAGATTAGCGCAACATTCTGGGGGTGTTATGTTTGAGCCTGTCTAGTCGAAGCCTGGACCACATTCATCTGGTTTTTAAAGCAAAACATACACACCCAATTAGCTGTTAATACATTTAGCAGATGCTTTCATTTAGTGTGACTGCGGTCGGAACCGTGCATGAGCCTAAAATGATGGATCACCAACATTTGAACAAGCAATGATGAATGAAGAGTCTAACCAATACACACATACAGAGAAAAACACTGACCAAGCGTCAAAGACAAAGACGGAGCAAGTGGTTACTTGTGCCTTATATCCTATGTCTGTAGGTTGTATCAAGATTTAAAGTGTATTCCAATTAAGTGGACGCAATCCTTCACTACTTTGATAGATTTCTAAATCAAATTAACAGATTTGTTCATCTATCAGTAAACTGAAGATGCATTAACCCAAAGGTCTCAAAGACTTCCATTCAAGTTAAAGATATATTACTAGGATGTTTCTAAAGCTTGAGACAAACAGTAGCACTTAAAGATTTGTAAATCTGCACTTGAAATTAAGATATGTTACTTAATGTGGCTGCATGAAACATTGAGAAAGAAAAGATAAAATCAGTGAGAAAACGTCTGAGAAAGGGAAAGCTCCAGTTCTGCAATACTCAAGATTGCAAAAATGTACAGAAGTATACATGTGTACCTACACACACAAAGAAGTCCTTATCAGCAAACTCCAGTTATTTCTCCCCAAATACAGCGGTGCTGTCAGACCCAGCTATCACCATGGTGATCAGGAAGATGGGAACTGAACAGCAAGACTTTAATAAGAGGTGATCTTGACTTGACACAAAGGCACACATATACGTGTGGTGCACCTAAAGATATGTCACCACATTGTTTTCAGTTAATTTATTATTTCATAATTGACAATTGAATGTACATTTTATTTTGGGTGCCACATTTATATTATATGATGTTTTGTGCCTGCTGTCCTGGATTTGGTGGTTGGGGAACAGAAAAGGGTAAAGCGGAACCTTTGTGCGCTTAGTGTTGCACACAGAATGGTTTTGGGGAGGGACCTTCTGTCCTCGCCCCCAGATGCAGTCTGGATGCGAATGTCAGCGCACCGTGAGAGTTCTGTTCTGATGTCACATTGTGTTTTCCAGGTCAGTAGACGGTGAAACTACACATACAAAGCAGTATGATGTTAGTATTTAATAATTTGTTAGTATAGCGTACTGTTCGGTGTATATTATTGTCACTAATATGCATTGTATATTGTTAATAGGAGTTAAGTGGAGTAAGAATGTTTAAACCGAAGTCAAGGTAAATGCATGAGAGATAGTTATATATTCAGTTTGAAGTAATGTAAATGTATTTTTGTTCAAAGATAACTGTAGTATTTTTAGTGTGCAGCCCATTATTTATTTGGTAACTAATTACAGTTAAGCATGGAACAGTGGAGCAACTGTTTATTCACCACCAAAGTGGTGCTGAGACATGTCACTCAGGTGTTTAAGTGATTATATTGAGAACTTAAGTTAAGGAAATATGGGATAAAAATGCACCGTATTCGTACACTGTTACAATGTTTGAATGTTAATGTCTGAATAAACCCAGATGCAGTCTGGATGCGAATGCCAGCGCACCGTGAGAGTTCTGTTCTGATGTCACATTGTGTTTTCCAGACTGCACTAATTCACTGCTACGCAGCCCCGGCACTCGGGGCCCGTAACACATGCACTATATGCTTTTCTAGTCTCCCAGACAAACCAGCACTAAGCCCCCCACTACCACCACCACCACACATGCAGTCACAAAGTCACCTGCAGCCACTCATGCGCTCAGCTTGACATACGCAAACTTCACCAACAAAGTCTACCAACAGTTTTCCCACAACATAGTCAATGTATATGCTTTTGCTCTCACACAGGTGCGCACACACCGACATAGACAGACAAATGGTGATGTGTGCTGCTCAAGGTGAACAGTGAGTAAACTCACCTCTGGCTCCAGGAGGATAAACCAGTTAATCAAGTCATGTCCTGATGACACCAACACACTGCATACTAACACGGTGGAGCAGATCACACTTGCCTGCTCTGCAGTTCACACATGTGAGGTGAGCCACTCTGTTGGAGAAAAACTGACTGATTCAAGTAAAAGTTTCAACATGAAATTAAACTGAATGTACTGCCTATCACACACCTTGTCCAAACATAAAATAGATTCATATGCTTCCAAGGACTCCGGACAATCACCACTGCTAGCTTTATTACAGTTGTTAGCTGAAATATGTGCTTCAACTCTGCAGAGCGCACAACTCACCACAAGAAAAAAAGACCATGTTCCACATTATAAAGTCTTCAGGACAGTGATCTGGGTTGCAGCTACTGTTAATACCAGAGTCAAAAGATGCTAACGTGAGAAAAAAAAATAAAAACTGCAAGGTCAGGGCCGTGGAAATGTGTAATCTGTCCAACATGTTTTACTGTAACATCCTTGTTAACACAAAGAACCAGGTTAGGTATTAGTGACAGTAATAGTTCTGAAAGTCACAATGAGCTCTGCTGTGGTAAAACCCCAGTGAATAGAGTCAGAGAATCAGAATTGGTAGCTTGTATTGCAAAGCCTTCTTGGTACAAGCCAAATTAAATGATAGCGACTCACTCAAGGTAGCCCTTGTTTATTTAGAGTAAAATCGCTGTTACTGTTAACACCAGTGCTTACCCAGGTATTTCAGCAAAATTCAGTTTTAACCAAGGACAATACATGAAGTCATTTATGCATCCAGAGATCACAGGTAACCATACCACAGGTGTTCACTCTGTAAACCTTGAGAACACTGTGCTTTGTGAGAGAAAAGATGGAGCAGATGATCAGCATCATGTGATGAATACAGAGAGCTTAAATGTGCAGCTGGTCGTGTTGGTATAGAATAACATTTACCACTGCAAGTCATTTAACTGTTTCCATAGGAGTGCCAGCTGAGCAGAGAGGAATAATTGAAAATGGAGACTGCGGTCTATGCTATGCTGACTCTACATAACATGCCAGCATATTTGTTTTTGAGTAATTATCTAGAATCTTGCAGATTTTAATTGTCTAGTTGAATGTGTCTAAAAGAGGAACGTCAACACAATCAGTCAGTGCAGTGAGGACAGTCCGAGGGATTGTGAGAGCAAGTCTGAGCCACACACTCTTACTTTAAAAAACAAAAATATAAGGAAAAAAAATATATATAAGCAGAAAAATATACATATAAATAAAATGCCCTACTCCTTGCTGAATTGAAACTGTCTGCTGGCTGCTCAGGTTATTATAATTATTGATTAAAAAAATAAAGCAGCTGTGAGCAAAAATAAAAACTCAGGCAGGTTATTAAAGTTAAGATACTACCAGTTATTTTAGCCTTTTTGAAATAAACTGGGACACTGTTGTTTTTAGTTTGTGTTTGAGTTTAATTCAGATTAGATTATCAACAATAGTGCAACATTAAAAAATATATCTATTTCCAAAAACAACACACATCCCAGTTTTCCTCTGCAGAACTAGGACAGGGCCTACAAATCTAGAACACTTATAGCCGTGCAGCTTTCAGCATGACACTAGAAGTGGGACAGAATCACAGAGGACACAGCTGAGATTCAACCAAAGCCAAAATGACTACACTTTATGGTCTGCTGCTAAAAACGTGATGTAGTTTTTTCTAAATGTCATCAAACATCACAGCTGCACAAAAATCGAACTTTACCTTGACACAGGGCCAACGCCACTGATCAATTTTCACCTACAGTAAATGACAAATCCAGGAAATATATTTAGACTAAGAAGTCTTCCACAGCTTTTCCTCCCTCAACACACCTTCCCAAAATCACATTCCAGTCATGCATATGGATCAGCACCTGCTGCTATGGCAACAGACATCCCACTTTGCCAGCCAGGCTACTTTGGCTAGAACTGGTAGTACCATTAAAAAAAAAAAGAAAGACCTTCACATAGCACTGCCTTTTGCACTAAAATGCTGCTGGGCACTGTCAAGTGCTCTTGCTAAAAGGAGCTTCAGTGGGTGAGCTGTCAGCTAAGCCTGGCTGCCCTGTCAAACCCACCCCAAAGCACTGAACTTATTAGAAACTCTATGCCTCACTAGAATTGAATAGGAGCCCAAATGACAGCTGATCTGCACTTGCAGGTTTTCATACTGGAGAGAACAGGCTGAACTGACTCACCTCTGCTTTAGTAGATTAAATAAACTCCAACGAGAGGAAGGAGGAGAGGTCGTGCTCCTGTTCCAGGACACCGGCGACTGGGCTGAGCGTCAAATGAGCCTCCTGAATCTGAATGGTATCAAGTTCTTTAGCTCTATTAACAATGTGTCCTTTTAAAATATTAGTTTTCTGCTATACCTTCCCAGAAGATGTGATGGTGGTGTATGCTTTTTGCCTGTTGAATGCAATTTCCCTTGGTCCACAAGTGGGATGGTGTCCTAGCAAATGGTTCTTTCTCCAGAGGCCAAAGCAAGAAATCTCAGAAGTAGGGCTAAAGCAGAGGAAGAGAAAAGAAATGGAAGGAGCTGTTAATAAAATGTTTAATTACATTTCCATCAGAGAAACATGCAGGGAGAAATGCGGAGTGGGAAATAAATATCGAATCTATGCAAAACTTAAATTAACCAGGCAGGCTTCATTAGGTGTGCATACCAAATGGCTTTATCCTCATTGAAATATGATGTGTGGTCAAATACTGTATGTCCTAATATTTATTAGCAAAACTCATATCAGATTATGGGACGACTAGATCTGATCATGTATGCAGGAAGTGTATCAGTGTTTGATAAACAAAGAGAGAAGGTAGCTTCACCTCTGAGACAAGTTCACAGCCCTTTTTTTTTTTAGCAAAAACTGGCTGTTAAAAATGATTGAAACACACAAAGATGAGACATCTCCTGTGCTAAAGGCGCTTGAAAATCCTTCCCTGCATAAGGGCAACTAAAACATCAAACCCACGATGTCATCACAAACTTTTAAAACAAGTCCACCCTTTTGCACATCTCAGTGATTTGTGAGTTAAGAGTTTAGTTTGGGCTTTTCATCTCTGTCATACAGGCACCACCACATTCTGTTTGAATGTGAAATACATAGCATTAAATAAGTAATGACAGCATTTAATGTGGCTTTGAGGCATTTTAATTGGAACTATGGGCAGCAAATGCATCACACTTCAGATAATTCAGAATCAAGTCATCTGAAGTGAAATTCATCTTTGGTTATTGATCAACACGAGGACATATTTCTGATCCGACACGCCTGAAACCATTACAACTCATAGTTCAAAGATAAAACTAGGCACCTATCTCATTTGGATCTAAAGAACAGTAATGGTTTAAAAAAAAACAACAAATGCTGGCACCTATCTCATTTGGATCTAAAGAATGGTAATGGTTTAAAAAAAAACAAATGCCGACAGGTAGCAAGCAGTGGTCTCATATTGAGGACAGATCACTTCCTCCCTCTGTAACAACATCACATTATTTTCTCCATTGCTTCGCATCAAACACGATGGGGCATCTGATGAAATGACTGATGATGGCGTGAAAGTTTTAAAATATGGGGAATGATAAAATAATGAGATAATCACCAGGCTATATCATACAGACAAAAGAAGAAATCCACTACCGTGCTCGCACATCAACCCAGATTAGTGCCAGGTCGCTTGGTATAAAAGAGGAGGAGTCACAGTGGCATTTGAGTGATTCCGAGTGTTTTCAAGAGAGAACATAATGGACTATCTTTTATCCTCCATCTGCATGTAAGTAAAGGTTAGACAAGAGAGGGCTGGAGTTAGCATTGTATGCACTGAGAAACGGAAGAGAAGAAAGCGAGGGGTAGACCGGGGGGTCAGCTTGACAGATTGGTGAGAATAATAAAGTTAAATGTCAGAAACATGAGGTTGCTGACTGTAACCTCTGACGGTGGTGGTCTGGAGCGTGTGTGGAGGTGGCATTATAAACAGGAATATCAAAGCAAAGGGTGGACGGAAATTTATGGCTTTGGATTAATTGAAAACATAGAAGAAATGACCAAAAGAGCTGAATGACAAAAGGGTCACCAAAGTCCAAACTCCAGAGGAAGTGTAATAAAGAGGGCAAACAAGTGGAAGACTGTTGACAGTGTATAAATGGAAAAACAGGCCAGCTTTCACTGAGGAAGGAAGACAGATTCAGGCTAAAACAAATGGGTGAAAATTAGGTTTTGATCCACTGCAGTGCCCAATAGTCAACTTGAGGACATGATCCATCAAGGGACAAAGAGAAAAGCAGAGAAAGGATGATAGATACAGAAGAAGTAGAAGGTGGACAGAGAAATGGAACCAGGAGAAAAAAAGAAGTGCAGGGCTGCCTGAAATGAAGATGGATCCACATAGAGAGCTACGGACTCATTTACTAATAAGAAATAAGGCATTAGATACACACAATGTATGTGAAAAACACAAGAACCAAACGTTGGAAAAAATGTGTTTCATGAGAAAAGGAGTGTTTACGTAAAAGTGCCTCAGACTTCAAGCTAGTATGAGGTATTAGATGTCGGAAGACAATGCTATGGCTGACCCACAGTGATGTATAGTCAGTGAAGGGCTTGGCTGAGTGTAACAGGGCAAGAAGAGTGAAATGGTTTGCATCGGAGTAGAGCACGGCTCGGGTGGCATATCTCTGTCCGAACCCAACCTGTGCCCGAGAGTGTGACGTCTGAACAAAGCCTGACAAATTATAACGTAAAATGTCTGAACCCGACCCTGGTGTTTTTATGCTTATCATTACACAAAGTAGACGTTTGAGTGCTCCAGACATCTACCCTAAAGTTTGACCTACATGTCAAAACCTGACTCGGACCCAAAACACAGGGTCTAATTTCTTTCTGCCTGAACTCAGCTTGATCTCTTGTGCACTGATGGGCCCCATTGGGCTTGGTTCCGGTATCCACCCTCTACATTGAAGTCTCCAGCTAGCACTACCTTGATTTCTAGAACTTGTGGCTTCTAATTGAGTGCTATCCTTGTCTAACCCTAACCATGTTTTATTTCCCATAACCATGAGCTTTCTCTAACTTGAGCCTATAGTTGGCATGGCTTTTTCTCTCACACTCCCAGTCATTTTCTAAAACAATATCAATACATCAGATCTCTGTTTGGACAATAAGTAGAGGGCTGCAGTTCATTCTTTTGTCATTGGTGAATGGAGATGTGAACACTGACGGATTCAACAGGAGATAAAGTTCTAACTTTAGTGAGCATATTCATCTGGTTCAGACAACAATCATAAACCTGAAACTCTCATTGATCAGGAAACACCGCGCCCACAACTACAGTTAAAGTATGGCAGCTCAAAGTTGAAAGATAAACAAGAAAATGAAATCTATTTGGTTCTTCATCCAAAGTCCTCAGTAAACTCCAGTACCACGTGGGGTTCTCTCACCCCTCTGGGGCGACAGGGCCTTCTGTGTCCCACCCTCTGGAATTCTCTTCAAAAACACATTTGTGACTGCACCAAACTATCTACATTCAAAACCTTCTCAACAAAGCTTTTAATCTTGTCTAAAATAAGGATTTAGCTTAACTTGTTCTATGCTTTTAAGACTTTATTCAGGATTTTTTGAGATTTTTTTGTGCCTATTATTTTATTGTTTTACGTGGTGTCTTGGCCACATGGTGGCGCAGTGATTAGCACAGTTAAAGGTGAAGGACCATCAAATGATGTACAAAGACTAGAGGGACATGGGGGCTGCATGTTTCCCATAAGTCTGTTGTCCCTGACAATGATGTAGTCTCTCTCACTTGCTTCTCATGGCTTTCATACACGTTCTAACTGTTTCTTCTCTTCCGAACTGGCCCAACTCTCTCCTTTCCTCTACTCTACACCTTGAGTTGTGCAGCTTTTCTTCACTGTTTCTCTCATCTCTCTTCAGTCCAGTTACTTTCCTCCTAATGACCATTTCTTCTTCTTTTGTCTTCTCTGCTCTCACGCTCTTTCCTCTCTACCCCATAACTCCTGTCCTTTCCAACTTTTTAAAATAATCCTCACTCTCCTCTATTTTCATGCTTGAACCATCCAAACTCCTGCTGACTTTGTCTGAGCGGATGTGTGGATGACATTCAGATTATTTCCATGCAGCCAGAACACATGCACTGTTACGTCCGCCACCCATAGTGCACCACTCTAACCTCCCTATTGAAATTCTTCCAGCCGGACAGCCCCATGCTACAGTAGTTGACTGACAAACAGGGACAAATACATGCCCATATGCAACACAAATATACACACAGATGTGTCACTGACAATGCATCGATGACAAACCTGGCCACGCACACACAAACACACTCATTTATCACCTAAACAAATAACTGGTGGAAAATGAGTTTGGGGAAAGTCTGTTACACATGTTTTGTGTAATAGACCATGAACAGTGCTTGATCTAAATCCAAGCCAGAAGCAACACGCAGTTACAGAAATGTTCATCTAAGAAGCAAATGTGATCATGGCTTGTGCTGTCCTCACAACCTGCTGCTGGACAAAAAAATGAGAAGTACACAGGGGCAAATGGTGTTTTCATGCAGAGAAGTATATAGTGTAAGTACCATAACAGTGACACACTGTTTATTGTAATTACAACAGTAACTATCGGGCTACATGCTGACTTTATAATGGTGGAGGGAGAAAGCGAGAGCAAACATTACTGTCTCCAGCACCGTGCAATCATTCCAGGGGATCGGTTTTCCACATTCCATTAACCGAGCTTTGGAAACATCTCTGTCTGTGATAACCGTCCTTTATCTGAGTTGCTTAGATGTTTTGAAGCATGTGTACTAATGGTGCATTATGAGTCTTGTATTAATCTTTAAGGCTGCTTGGTTCCTCCACTGAGGCGTATTTGTGCAGTTATGAAGCCACTATTGACTGAGCTTTGAAAAATGAGAGGAATTACCATATACTGGAAAGCAGCTGCATCTTTACATAACTACTTGGTGCCATTCCAAGACCGATCACACAGGCTTATCATACTTTATATCCTCGTGACAAAATGCAAGCCCATTGGCTTCCCCTTTATTCCCAGCTCCATCCTCTTCATAAAACCCATCTCATCCAAACACCACAGTGTCACTGTCTATTTAGCTCTGCTTCAGCTGCCAGTGGCTAGTGGAGAGGATGGAGGGACATTGTTCTGTTAGGGGAGAGAGAGAGATGGAGGAAAGACAGAGGCTGAGGATGGTGCAGTGATCGAGGGAAAGGCACGCACACACACAGCCATTTTGGCAGTTTCAAACCGCTTCAAAACAAAAGACTCAACAGGATATAGAAGAAGGATTAAATGCAGCCAACGCAGCCCTAATTTTCCAACAGAACAAGAGGAAGAGAAAGGAGGCCGAGCTGAAGAGCAAGACAGGGATTAAAAATACAGTACAAATGCAAAGAAAGGACAGACAAGCTCTACCTGTCCATTTCACTTAGAACCAGACTCTTCTTTCTCCTGCCCTGCCATTTCCTT